GTACTTTGTTCCATCGTCAGGTATTTCTCGTGATACCAAAAAAGAATGAAAAGAATCAAAATGATTGACTTAAAAAACTAACCGTTAGTATTTTTCGGTGCTACTATAGAGTGAGGTCTACCTCAATATAGCGTGGTGAGGTCTACCTCAATATAGCGTGGTGAGGTCTATCTCAATATAGCGTGAGGTCTACCTCCCTGTTCGTCTATAGCATGAGTTCTACCTCAATATAGCGTGAGGTCTAACGCAGTATCGAAATATAATATAATATTGTATGTGTATACATATTTATTTAAACCTTATATTATCATTTATATATCTATATACTATTTATATTTATATTAAAGTCAGAGAGGTCAAAATAAACACGCTATCAAATCCAATGCATACATTTATTTTAGCGATAAACACTTCGTATATCTTGTAGGAATGACACGAAAAGATCAAAGAAAAATATAAGTTCTAAGATTTCACTCACGCTCAGGTTGCATTGCAATTTATTGTTCATATCTCTATAATGGAAAAATTGATTTCCTTTACGGACACAACGTGTAGTTTGACGCCCCTTTCGAGGACAGCGTAGTACAGGCTTGAATTCTCCTCCTCTGTTACGCTTTCCTTTTATGGCCACGTGAGGATGAGCCCGAAATGCGATTTACAGATGCGGAAGTTTACATATCTGGGAAGTGTTTTGGCAGAGGACGGTAAGTATGACACTGAGATCTGTAGACTTATTGGGGTCACCAAGAACGCATTCCAAAAGCTGGGCAGAGTACTGTGAGACAGGAGGATTTATTTGGTAACAAAGGAAAGGATACTGTCCTTCTTTACGGCAGAGAATATTGGACGATTTCCTCAAAGAAGAAGAGACACGAGGTGACGGAGATGTGGTTCTACAGAAGGATGCATCATGGACCGGGCCTGTGAGCAAAGATGAGGATGCAAACTTATACTTAACATCAGGAAGAGGCAGCTGAAGTTTCTGGGACACATAATGAGGAAGGAAGGCCTGGAGAATCTGATACTCACGGGTCGAATAGAGGGAAAGAAAGACAAGAGAAAACAACGCATGCCATATCTAACGGACTTATGCAAATGGATGAGAGAACGTGGTCTAGGGGAGGAACCAGAAGGAAGGAACTTGCTGAGAGCTGCAATGGATAGAGGGAGGTGGAGAGCCATGATCACCTACGTCCTGAAAGGAAATAGCACATAAAAAGAAAAAAAAAAGAGAGGAGGGCACTTTAGAACTCCGCGCTGCACCAGGGTAGATATATTGAGGTAGACCTCACGCTATAATAGCACCACTTATTCTGTGTCTAAAATATACTTTACAATTCTTAATTCATATCGAAAGTTATTAATATATTTCCCCAGCTTTTTATATCAAATTAAAGGTAAATCCCCTTCCTAGTTTCAGAATGACTTGAAAGCAAGGCATTCATTTAGCCTTTTCTGAAATGAATCCACGGCAAATCCAAGAGATTTATTACGTATGAAAATACATAATCATGGCACAAGGCCGAAAAAGGGGAGGGTTGGAGGCTGGCCTTCACTCACTATCTTATACCTAGCTAATCGGATTCACGACCCTTTCATACATTACAATTTTCACATTCACCAAAAGAACTCGTCTGTCACCATTCAATCCTCCATACACCAAAATACCGCATCCTCATAAGGGGGACCTACAAAACTGGCCTAATAGTGATTTCCAAGCTTAGCTCAGATGTGGCACAAGGCCGAAAGTATGAGGCACCCAGTGAGAATCGAACTAATTATTCAGTCGTAATTATTCTAGAAAGACAAGGTTGCTAACCATTACACCAACCCGAGGTGTCCAACTAATAGTGATTCTCCAAGCGTGGCTTAGATGTGGCACAAGGCCGAAAGTAGAGGGGTACCCAGTGAAATCGAACTCACTGCTTAGTCGTAATTGTTCTAGCGAGATAAGCTTGCTAAGCATTACACCGCCTCGGGGTGCCCTCCACGGCAAATCCTAATCCACTCTCTGATTCAGTTTTATGATTGTATCGTATGTGACACTTCATTGTCATTGGTGACAAGTCCACATATTGTGCAACAGCGAGGAGATCCGGACATAGGTTTGAAATAGGTAAGAACTGCAAAAAAATTTCGTAAAAAATTTTTACCAGCAATAGATTTTTGAAGAAAAATTGTTATAGCAATATACATTATTAGCAGCAATACTTTTTTTGAAAAAAATACCAGAAATACTTTTTGAAAAATATATTACCAACAATAAAAATCTTGTCGGTATTAAATAACCAATTGAGGTTGAAATACCGTAAAACAAAACAAAACAAAACAATATATACTGAAATATATATATATATATATATATATATATATATATAGATAGATAGATAGATAGATAGATAGATAGACAATAATGTTACAAGCAATAAAAATATTGTTGGCATTAAATAACCCATTGAGGTTGATATGCCGTAAAAAAATAAACCAAACCAATATATAC